TTTTTTCAAAAACATTTAAACATGAACAGTCGGCACAGCTTTCCTCTTGAAATGTGCACTCACTGAATACTGAAAACAACATTTACTGAAAAAAAAAGAACTTCTGTGGCACAGGTCTAACTGTATATCTTTGTGAATAAAGAGTAAGATTTGAAATGTCAGTTTTATCTTTTATTTTCTGTTTATGAACGCCTGCATAAACTTGGGTTGCAAAACATATATTTGAATAAAAGAAATCAATTATAGAAGTTCTGAACTGCTATGAAAAAACAATTGTTTTACAATTCTTTATACTATAATTAAATTATTTTATGTATATGATATAAAATGAAAGCTTAGACAGATGGATTCATCTTTTTTTTTTAGCTTTCAGTGTGTATCAAAAGTGTTTAGAAAACAAAATCTGCAAATTCAACACTTAATTAAATAAGACATAATAAATAAGACATAAGCTGAAAATTTTTAAAGAAAAAAATATTTTTTTTCCTTTTTAGTTCATATAAACCTCCACTGTTTTAAATAGTTTAAGTGTGTGAATGTATGTGTGAATGGGTGGATGACTGGTTGTGTAAAGCGCTTTCGGGTCCTTAGGGACTAGTAAAGCGCTATACAAATACAGGCCATTTACCATTTAAGCACCAATTAAGCACAATAATGTAACACCTTTTTTGCACAACCCATTTTCCATATTTCCATTTCATTGTAAAATACCTAGCTATGACCCACATTTTTCTGCAGTCAGAAACACATATTTAACTTAAGGGTTGCCTAATATATGAGAGTTATTTTTACAGGTGGAAACTTCAGTAACCTTTCTGTTATAACATGTTTGTATCCATGTATGCAAATTGCACTTACTCACAGTCTCCTATAAGAGTTGAGATCATGCCATCAGTGACACAAAGGAGGCAACATGTTCTCTGTAGCTTTGCTCCTGCTGCTGGTTTCTGGAACCTGTGAGTCTCAATACGGAAAAGACAGAATATGATTATAAGATTCTGCTGAAACACAGATTCAGTATTCAACATGTTTTCTCCACAGGTGTAAAATGTGAGCAGCTGACACAGCCAGAGTTTGTGACTGTGCAGCCAGGTCAGCGTCTGACCATCACCTGTCAGGTCTCTTATTTTAAGCAGCTATCGGACAGCTTGGATCAGACAGCCTGCAGGGAAAGGACTGGAGTGGATTGGAGATGCACATTATGGACACAACACATACTACAAAGATTCACTAAAGAACAAGTTCACCATCAACTTAGACATTTCAAGCAAGACAGTGACTCTAAATGGACAGAATATGCAGCCTGAAGACACTGCTGTGTAAAGTTTTAAATTTTATATTTCCAATTCAACCTTAATAACCTGCAAAATTTTTGACATTTTGTTTCTGTAATTAAGTGACAATAATATATTTTGATAGTCATTTATATGATAAGTTTTAAAAAGTTCTTAAAGTTCATTAAAAGTTCTTCCAGCTTTGTGTTAAACCACCTGTAATGAAGGTTAGAATTGGTTGTGTTTCATTATTTGCAAAAAAAAAAAA